TAGATGATGATGATGCAATGCTGTGGGTTTTTGGTGCTTCATTGTCAGATGGAATCACAGGGAAAGGAGTTAGGAAATACACTGCTGAATTGTTTACCTCTTAACCATGTGCACTTTAGACCACAGAGAGAGTCTGGCTGGAAAAAGCAGTGTGTGAATGTATGAGGCTTTAGATCAAGAGCTGCCCTGCCTCCTGCATCTGAGCATTGTGGCTTGGAGCTGAGAGGCTGAACATCTGTGTTTTCCTACTGTGGAGCAGGGAGGGGAGAGCTGCACGAAACCCTGGCCACTGGCAAGAAGAAAGTGGCTCAGGACCTGAGTATGGCAAGTTCTAGCAGTGGTGATGCCTTGTGCCACTGCTGTTCCTTGTGTTTGGTCATCCTGGGTTTGGCAGGAAGGTTTGCATTGGAATTGTGGGTGCACAGGGACTTAGAGTGGACACACTGTCCCCAGTGGCACTGAGGACAGGCCATCAGTCCTTGTCAAGTTACACAGATTTAACTGAGGTCTCAGGTATGGTTTCAAGCAGAAGATTCCCCATCCCTGAGGACCTGAGCTCCTCTCATGCACGTCCAACTGTCCCGTCCCCACGGTTCAGTGGTTTTGGTGCTCATGAATAACAGGTCACCCCAAATGCATTTCATAAACCCCTTATTTTCTAATTGCAAGCTTGAGAGCCAGGCTGCTGCATCGGAGCAGCCACATGATTTGTATGTGCCTACTGATGAAGTCAGGGCTTGGAGGCTCCTTGGATGTGAATTCCACCGAATTATCCTCTAGTGCTGGGAGAAGCAGTTCCAGGTCACTGCCAATCAGTCCTCCAGACCTCTTCATGCTGTTCTGTACAAAGCCTGTATGATCCAGGAATGCTATGAGGAACTTTGATCATCAAACTGATTTCTATCTCCCTCTCCAAGATCTGGGCAGGTATGTTTTTATAAGGCTCCACTGAGCTCAGAGCTGGCAGACCCAACATTCCTGCAGCTGCAAAGTTAGGCAGTAACAAGTCAGACAGCCCTGAGTTTTAATCCCAGTTTGGACAACCCTTTGTCAGAGCTGTTAAAAATGAAAATACGCATTTGCTTTCTTTATAACTGAGGATAATGATGAATATAAGTAACCAGTGCATTGTATGGATTAACTGACTGGCACAAGCTGTACATTGTGTGAGTGCTCTGTTAAGGCTGCAGGGGAAAGGGAGAGCTATCAGAGGTGCTGTAATATTTTAATTTCTTCAAGAAGGTGGCAGAAAGAAGCAGATTCTGCCTGCATCCAGTGCTGGTTGCTGAGCTTTTGTCCTTCCTCACAAGCATCTTGCTGTCCTGGGCACTGACAATGGGAATTGTGCACTGCAAAGGGCACAGAGCTTGGGCTGAACTCTGCCCTGATGTGTGCCATCAGCAGCCAGCCCCCTGGCACGGAGCTCCTCCAGTGGCAGTGAGGGGGTCCAGTGGGATGACTGAACCCCTGGCCCTTTCCTGCTGGCTCAGTGTTGCACTCACCTCGGTACCCGGGTGAGTCAGGTGCTGTTGCACACACAGCAGTGCCCAAAGCCCCCTTGGTGCCTGCCAGGGCAGCTGCAGGCTCTGGACAGGGAGGGCAGCCCTGTCTTGGCCGAAAGCCACAAGGTTTCTTCTGTGGGGTCTCCTCCTGCTTCCTTTTCCTTGAATCCAGGGGTTCTCCATGCTGGGATTTGCAGGGAACCCCATGGCTGGGGTGCAGTGTCACCATTTACCTCCTGCTCAGTTTGGCAGCTGCCTCCCAGTGCTGGGCCATGAACTGCTGGTGCAAAGCAAGGTGGAAAACTCTGCATTGTCTCTCCAACACTGCAGCCACAAAAGAGCAATTGGTCAGGAAATAGGAGCTTGGAGGATCCACAGAGCTGGAGAGGGAGATGGGGGGATTTATAGCTCTGACACCTGAGTTCCTACCCCCTATATCAGCCAGAGATGCTGTTCCCAAGGAGGAGGCTCAGGTCTGCTCTGCTGCATGTGGGCAGGTGTTTGCAGTGTAAATTCCTGCATCTCCTTGTTGCTGGTCACACAGGGAGTCCTGCTCTCTCCCACAACAGCCACTTTTGCCTACCAGGCAGTGTCTTGGAGCCCCAGGGCAGCACTGAACCTCACTGTATGTCTCCCTGGGAAAACTCAGTCTTCCTCCCCTTTTGCAAGAGAAGCTTGGTCTGAGAAGTTGAATGAGTCAGTCAGAGGTGCAGTGACACAGCTCAGCATTCTCTAATGTCCTTGAGATCAGGTTTTTTCCCCCCAGGGGCTCATCCTTTCCTTATTTCCATACTTTCCTCCTCACTCCAGGGTGCATTACTGGGTGCTGTTGCCTCTACCATCTCTCCCTCCCCTTGACTCTTTCCTGGGCCTCTGGCTCCCTGCCTCAGCCCACACTATGGAGCTGGTGGTGCTTGTCTCTCACTCCTCTGATCGCTCTATTATGTTTAGTTTGGGAGATTGTGTTCCTCCATGCAGGAACCCCCACGTGCTGGGGAATGTGGTTTGCTGGAGGATGCTGCTGGGGAGAGGCAGCACAGGCCACTTGCAGCAAATGGTTTTCGTGCCTGCCATGAAACTATAACAACTACAGCACATGTGTTGCAAGCTGAGCCAGGGAGAACCAGCTGCTGAGGGCACCACGGCTGGGTCAGGCTCAGCAGCTGCTGCAGGAGTTGCAACATCTGCAGCCTCAGTGGCTGTGGGTGCTGCTGGGCTCATCAGCATCTGCTCAGTGCTGCTGCCTGCCCGTGCTCATCCCTCAGGAAAGGTCACTGCTGTGAGTGTGGAATTGGGCATCCTGAGGCAGAGACAAGTGAGGCTGACACAGCCTCCCTGAAAAGTGGCCAGCACTGTGCTGGCACCAAGGGATGCCAGGGTGGGATGTGTTTGGCAGGGGGGAAGTTCAGAGCTGGTCTGTGGTGGGTGCCAGGTCATATCTGAGCTATTCTGGCAAGACCTGAGGCTTGCGTGGTGCCTGCCAGTGCTGCAGCCAGGCTGAGCCAGCAGCCCAAATCCCTCGCTTTCAGGAACAATAAATTCCCTCACTAACTTATGAAAGAGTGGGGAGGGAAGGGGGCGTGGGAAGCTCTAAATGACTTACCTATTGGAAGCCTGTGGGCTCTGCTTTGTACTAAACATTAACCTGCCCTTCTGAGCCAAGCGACTGATTCTCTGGGTAACTCTGAGGCCGGACAGGCAAAGAAAAGGATTCTTTGTCAGAGAGTATTTCAGAAAATATCCCTTCAGCCAGTTTGTCTCATCGTGTTTGTTTGGCCCTGCAGCAGGACGCTTACTCCACAATTTGCTGTTTGTGTTTGTGCAGTGGAGCTGCTCAGATGGCCGTGTCCCAGCCGTGGCTCCAAACACACTGCTCACAACATGCTGCTCACTGGTGGCTCCATGATGATGGCACAGGCACCCTCTGCACATGTAATCACACATAAACACAGAACCAGACATGTGCATGTGTAACTGCACACTAAAATCAGGCACACGAGCTCATATCTCTGTAAGTGACAACAAGGGAAAGCTGCCTTTTGGACTTCTTTAAGGTGTATCCCTGTGATTGCTGACTATTAAGCAGTATTGCTCATCAGAGAGGTGCAGGCAGGAGCCAAGCACAGGGATCAGTGACTAGGAGTGGGTTCTGCTCCTGACTTTGTCCTTACTTGGTGTGTGAGGTGGGGCAAGTCATTGTGCTATTGTTTCTCCTCCACAAATTGTGACTAATGTGGAAAGAGTAACGTATTGTTACTGTGGCCTTAGATGTGTGTTTGATTAAGCAACAAAGCTTTGGTGATTCAAAAGATTTCTTGATGGAAGTTTTCCTAATGACAGAGCTTATGAACATCTCCCCACTGGATAACCCCAGAGCTAAGATGATCTAGCACTGTCATGCAGCAGTGGGTAGAGTTGTTGTTGCTACAAATCTGGAAACGTGTGAGTGTTCCCGAGCTGTTCAGTGCAAAGTCTGGCTGCTTAGCACTGAATTCCTCATTGACTTCAGGCAACTCTACAACTTTTGTACTAAAGCCTGAGACACTCAGCCAATCCTTTTTTCAGATCTGTGACAGAGGGGATAATCTGTGGCTGAGCAGTGGTAAGAAGTGCCAATAGCGCTGCATCCTCTTAATCCAGCTCATCTAGTGCCTTTCTCTGTTCCCATGCAATGCCAGGGTTAGGGCTAGGGGTGAGAGCACTTTTTTTTCCTATTGTGGAATAGTCTAAAACTAAGCAGAGAGCTCTTGCTGTGGAAGCCATGCCTGTGAGGTGGTGGATTGTTCTCAGGTGAACAGGACTTGTGCTGCACACCTTTGTGTGTAGGTGACCCACCTGAGGGGCTGTGGAAATCTTTGCAGGGAACAGCCTGGTCCTTCCTCCAGCAGTTCAGGCTCCTGCACCTCTTTGTGCTCTCAGAACAAATTAAGACTAGCTATGACTTTCTTCCTGTCTGTGTTTGCAGTGCCACCGGCTGATTGCATTTGCGTAATTAATTGCCCAACCTGTGTCTCGCAGGGGAGCGATCAGAGCGTGTCTGCCCTCCAGGCACATCAGGAATAGCAAAGTGTGAAGCCTCCTCTTCCCCACACCTGGGGAGATGCCCCGGGGAGCTGGTTATGGGGTACGTGGCTCTGCATCCCCGCAGCAGTGAGTAAGTACTCACACGTAGCTCTCCCCGTGGTGTCAGCCTGCACAGGCGTTTTGCTCGGCTTACAGCCTTAACTGAGTCCTGTTCGTGCGGCTTTGGAGAGGAAAGAGGCGCTTCCACGGGTCAGCAGCGCCCTTTGAACTAGAGAGTGGAGAGCAGCGCTGACCTGAGCCGCTCCGGCAGCCAAGGGCTGAGACAAATCCATGGGGTGCGCCGGGATAAAGGCGTGAAATTCCACCCCTTCCCTTTGCTGCACCGGCTAAATACACCTGGATTTCCAGGGCTGGGAGCTGGCAGGGATAAACCCCGGGGAGTATTTGTTTTCCGAGGGGGTAAGGTGCAGCCGCTGCGGAGGCTGAGCCCTGCTCTACCCCTGCCGGTGCCAGGAGAGTTGGAACAGCCCACAACCCACTCGGAAAGGTGTGTGCTAATCACTGGGAGCGCTGGGGCTGCCCCCCGACCGGAGCCAGGCGCTCGGATGGGGTGGCGGTGTGCGCGTCCCCTCCCCGTCCCTGCCCACAAAAGGATCGTGGCACCCCAGGGACCGCTCAGCCCCGCCGGCCTCGCTCCTGCTCCCATGTCACAGCTCGGAGCGACGGCATGAAGAAATCCTCGTATTCAGGTGAGCCTCTCTCTCTCCTCTCACCTCTCTCCCTTTGTGTCTGTACTGGGGAAAAAAAAAAAAACAAACCAAAACAACCAAAACCAAAAGTACCACTTGCACAAGCCCTTCTGCCCCCGAGCGCTCTGTGGAGGACGAGCAGCTGTTTCACTGTGTATAAACAGACCCTCTTGATCGGCGGAAAAGGCTTAAAAAGCAAAGCAAATGCAGGGAGGCGGCTCGTTCCAGGCGGAACCCGGCACTGGTGACACGGAGCTCGTTATCAGGAGGCACCTGTGCCAGCACAGGGAGAGATCCAGTGCCCAGTGGAAGTGTGAAATCGGAACAGGGCAGTTGTGGTGTGTGTGACACTGCCTGCACTCAGGGCTGGAGGGGTTTCCAAACGGGATGTAAGAGCTGGGATCCCATAATGGTGGGGGGCTCTCCTCTCCCTTCTCCCCGTCCTGGTTTTCCCAGTCTTGCCCTGTGGGGCGAGGACATCGTGCCCTCTGCTCATGTAGGCTCCTTCCTCCCTGGTTAGGGGGATTGGGCACCCTTGCTGGGGTCATTCCTCAGAGCACTCTGTGGAATCCTGCTGGTGGCCCCAAGAAGTGGCTGGTGCACAACAGAGTGGACTTGTCTCCTGTTAAAGGTCCCCTGCTCACCCTGTAAAGCTCAGGTGCCTCTGGCAGCTCCTCCAGCTGCAGGACTTTGCTCTCTGTGCTCTCTAAGCCACGTTCTGCCCTGGCTTTGCCCTGGCCACTGTGGGGATGTGGTGTCAGCATGCCAGCCTTTTCCTAATGCCCTCAGCCACTGGTTTGGCTGCTCTATAGGGGTGCTGGTGGCAGCTGCTGTGCTGCCAATCACTTGAGCCACATCATGGCCAACAGGACTCTGCCTGAACTCATGAGCCACAGGAGCTGGGGGTTTGTCTTGACTCAGAAAATTCCCTCTGTGATGCTGCTGCCTGCTTATTGTTAAAATTAATTAGTAATGTTTCTCTCTTGCACATTTTTTCTTCTCTCATTAGTGTTGCTAAATGGGCTGCCAGGGAGGTTTTATTATGGCTTTTATGCTGGGAACCCGAGAAACCCTGAGTATGGTTATTAGCATGTCGTAATGGATTAAACTGGCTATTAATGGTTGTGCATGTGTGCAGGGAAACCTGCTATTTGTTCTGGCCTCCTGAGGGGCACATGGTGACTGGAGCAGCCCTGGAGCAGACAGGAGCAGTGCAAGAACAGGTCTGGAGATAACTGGCTGTCATATGAAAAAGCTGTCAGCACTGTGACCTGATATTGTGACTCCTTGCAGATGAGGCCAAGTGGTCCTTTGTTGCTTTGCTTGCTTTGGATGGGCTGTGCTAGAGTGGAGCTGAGGGGCTGCAAAGCCCCTGACAAGTCTCTGGTTGGTGCCCAAATCCTCCTTCACTTGTTACAGCTGAGGTTGGCTGACATCTGGCCAGTACCTGTAATTCAAAGGGACTGTGGTTGTATTTTGGAAACATTGCTTTGAGGTTTCCCTGGGTGTACGGTGCAGCTTTTTACTTAAGTAAAAAGAACAGAAGAATTGCAATGCTCAGAATATGCTACATGGAAGCAACAGAATTAACTGCACTTCTTACAACACCTCACACCTTGCAGAAAACACAGGCAGCTCTGCTTTGCAAAGGCTTCACTTTTGGTGCTGCTGTTCCTGCTGTGCCGTGGCTATTCCTGTCAGTGATTCACAGAGCAGAAGGTGCTGGATGGAGGCCACCTTGGAGAGCTGCCACCTCTGCGTGGGGTGGAGCCAGCCCTCCTTGGCCCATCTCTCTGGTGGGTTCACAAATCAGGGCCCAGCGATGGTCACTCGCTGTAGGGAATTTCGCTGGGAATCCCGATTGCTTCTGTAAGGCATGAGATGTACAGGGTGCTGCAGGGCCTCTGGGCTTTCTGCTGCCAGAGAGGCTAGTGAGGTGACAAAGTGACTTCTCAGCTGCAAAGGCTCATGCTGACAGCCCCTGACAGGCTGGAAACACAGTGCCTGGCTCAGAAACTCCTGAAAATTATGACAAAGGGAAAAAAGCATCTTGTAAACAATTTTTGGGGCTTGGGAGCGTTTCTCCCTGGCCTTGTTTGCCCTTTTCTGGTACATTCTGGATCTGTTTTGTGGACTGAGTCCTGCTGAACCCAGCTGGAGGGTTTTGCTTGACTTCAAAGGGCTGGAGCTCCAGCTCCATCCTCCTCTGTGAGCACAGTGAGGCTGCTGTAGTGCTCTCCTGTTATCAGGCTGTTCCCCACCCCAGGCAAGATTCACTTTCTCTAAAGTACTTCAGGGGAAATCATTGCCCATCTGCTGTGACTTCTGAGTACAAGCCACGTAGGTGGGGTTGGGATGAAGGGTTTACCTTCGGATGCTTCACCTCTTACTAGCAGAGAGGCTCAGACCTTTGTGCCGTAGCCCCGGGCACGTGCGGCTCAGCCCGGCAGTGCTTTGTGTTCCTGGAGCTTCTGGCAGCAGCAGGAGGAGGAGGGGAGAGCATGAAACAGGGAATTTTGCACAGCGAGTTAGAAATGAGCAATGACTTCTGTTGAAGCCAGCTCTTACACGTTTGCCTTGGGGATGTCTGTTATTTCAGATGCTGAAGGCGAACTTGTCCTGGAATACTATTTTTTTAAGGATTTTTTTTTTTTTTTGTTCTCATTTTCCATTACTCAAGCCCAATTGCACGGCCAAAGAAGCAATAGACAGGATTTGTGATAAATGACAGGATGATTTATAGGTATTTTCAAGGATGGTGCAAAGGGTTTTGGCCAAGGACAGTTTCAGGTTTATGTAAGACGTTGGCGTGCACTGAAATAAGGATCACTGGAATTACAGTTCCTCCAGAGTTATCCATAGTGGTTACTACCTGAACTGCACACTCCTGATTTATTGCTTAGGTACTTAGGGAGGAATAACTCCTCATATATGAGCTAAAGCTGTAGGAAAAACTGCAGGAGTAACAGCGAGAACTGCGGTTCCATCATTGCAGGAGGATTTGGGAACAATTTTTTTCCGATATCATGACTCATAAAATGATTCCCTGTAAAACATGGGCAATAGAATGTAAGTCAAATTGGAGTTGCTGGTGCTATCTAGAGAATTTGTGTCTGCCTCATCCCTGGAAGTGTTCAAGGCCAGGTTGGATGGGGCTTTGAGTAACCTGGTCTAGTGGAAGGTGTCCCTGTCCATGGCAGGGGTTGGAATTAGATGGTCTTTGAGGTCCCTTCCAACCCAAACTATTCTGGGGTTCTATCTAGGCTGGGAAGCTTTGGGGAAAGAGCCCTGTCCTCTGGTGGTTGGTTTGTAGTGTCCCAAGGTCCCCTCCTGTCTCAGACCCTCTGTTGCCTTGGAACCAACACCATGTGGCTCCTGCAGATGCTGAGTACCTGCATCTCTGGTCCAAGGCAGCAGCAGCTACAGGTGTTAGGAGGCAAATGGGGTTTGTACCCCACCAAGGGGCTCCTGTTGTGCCCCAGCACATCCAGTGAGTGAAGAAAAGCAAGTGAGCTCTTGCTGGGGGTGAGCAAGGGCTGATGTGCAGCTGTGACAGCACGGGGACATGCACCACCTCGAGTGAGGTTCATCAAAGCTCAGTGGAGCAGCAGTGGATGGATGTGGCCACTCCTAAATAACCCTCAAGGGCTGTGACTGGACCAGTGCTGTCTGTTGGAGGGGCCTCAGTCCATCTCTGGCTGCAGCTGGTCTGAGATGGGCTGGAACAACTGAAGCTGGATCTTTTTCAGGTTGATAATACAAGAGAGGTCCAGTGTGATTCCCTCAATGACTTTTAACCTCTCTGCCATAAAAGCTTTTGGGTGGGGCAGAGATGACCTGGTGTCTGCAGAGCCCATTGTTTGCTCCTGAACCAGACCCCATCTCTTGTCACTGCACTGGCACTGTCTGTCTGAGCTGTGGAAAAATGAACAGAGTTGTTCAGGCTGGTTTTTTTTTGTTATTTTTTTATGTAGTTCACTGGCCAAACTGCAGTATCAAGGAAAAAATATTGCTTGGGTCCAACAAAAACATTCATTTAATTTTAGATTGTCATTTGGAACAGAAATTCGAAATAGCTTGTTTTGAAATATAAAAAAAAATAAAAAAGCTATTGTTTTTCAGCTCAAACTCTCAGCTAGCTCTTACTTCCCAAAACCTGTATTGCTGGGCCAACAAGATATCACAGAAAAGAAAAAAATTGTAGAGTGAGGATTTGCAATCAGCCCCAAGAAGCTGGATCCTCAGTCTGCAGCTGTTCAAACCTGTTGCTCAAATCCTGAATTCAGTGCAAGCAACACCTCCACTGGCTCAGGAGAATGACCTGTCCTGTGGCCCCACTTCCACCTGTTATCTCTGTGACACAGCCCTGCCTGTGCCTGATGTGCCAAAGCACATTTGTAGTGTCTCTGTTGCAAGTTTTGGCCCCTGTGTACTGAGACCAAAGGACTTTGTGGTTTTGCAGCAACAACCTGGTTTATGACGAGGTGCAGCAGCCCCTGTCACAGCTGGGCAGGGCTCCTACAAACAGACAGTGTAGTAAGGAAAGGCATCAGCCTTTGGGAAGGCTTTTGCAGGAGTGACAGGGTTTCCATTTCATCCTGTGTCTTCACTGCTTGGGAGGAATGAGCTATCACCGGAGTTATAGGTGGAGGAGCAGCCACTGGGTTGGTTACTGAGCTCATGATTGTTCTTATTAGAGGCAAAAGTGTCTGTGCTGGGTGGATGTTTTGTTTAAAA